CGGAGTGGCGCGAGTGTGACACAAGTCTGCGCCGTATCGAACCATTGTCGTTAACCGAAAGCGCACGGAGTGGCGCGAGTGTGACACAAGTCTGCTGCGCCGTATCGAACCATTGATACCGAAAGCGCACGCCTGAGCATCCCCCTCTTCGTCACAGAGAGAATGTGTCACACACACTCACGCTACTCCGAGGTCCGGCATTCAAATCGATACGCACTTACGTTGGTTGCAGAAAGCGAAAGCGCACGCTTGAGCACGCCCTTCGCTATATCTCATTGACATTGAATAACAACAGCATAGACGCTGCTTGACCACCCAGTAACCGCGACGCGTGAGCCCGTTCGAGAGAAGAATCCATACACACCAATCAAGCAGTGGGGGAGGGAGGGGGGGGGGATGCGATAGACTGTCTCGTCTCGTCGGGATCTCCCCGACACGAAGCAGGATGGATCTTCCAATGTTCGTGGAGTGCGCCCGGGGGCCCCCCATCCTGCTACTCTTCTCGGTGAATCTGTCATGGTTTGCTAACATCTTCCCCCGAAGCCAAAAGAGTACGGTCATTATACCTGGTATTTAGACCCAGAAATATACCCCACATACAGCACGACAGCTGCGATGACCGTACGTTGCATTCAAGGGAAGAAGGGAGTCACTTGATGGATATTTTTTGTCGATCCCCACATAAGAGGTGGCTCCTATTACCGCCTGCTGCGCCCAATGCTCACCATCCCCGCCACTCATCAGGAAGTTCAGCCCACTTTGCCGACTACTATCTCAGGTCTTTTCCAGCCCTCCGCCCCATCATCCCCTTGGTCTTTCCTCTCTCCCTTCTCCCCCGGCTTCCCCCCGCATTCGATGCCCTTCAAGCACAACAAATTTCCCCTCCTCACCACAGGAGGTGCGCGGAGGCGGGTACCGCTCAACAAGTCCTTCCTCCCCGACCTGGATAGTACCGGCGAAGACTGCAACCCCTTATACCCCCGAGACCCGCGCACAACAAATTTCCCCTCCTCACCACAGGAGGTGCGCGGAGGCGGGTCCGATCAACAACCCCACAAGCCCTTCCTCTCCGACCTGGATAGTGCCGACGTAGACTGCAACCCCTTATACCCCCGAGCCCCGCGCAAACCCCAACAATTAACCCAATGCAGATGAGAGCAAACCGATACCGAATCAACGCCCCAGCTCCTCAGGAGCTCCTCTTTACACTTCGCGCACTGCAGATGTCATTCATATAGTAAGCGATGGCTGGGGAGGGAGGCAGGCAAGAACTAAATACCAAACGGTACCCCTGATCACCCTCTTTTTTCCTCGGTGATCCATCGCTGAGCAGCGGTGCTGCGTGACCTCGTTTTACAAGCCGCTCATAAGCCGCGACTCCTGTAGAGGAGGAGGTCCGTCTAGCGTGTCGCACACCTGGCTCGTCAGTCTGAACGCTGTTCTGTCGAACAAGCTTCCTTATCCCAAAAAAGGACATCTTAGGGAACTCCCCCGGGCCCATAAAATACACGACGCGTGGGATGCAACAGTACGGATTCCAAGAAAACAACCTTTTAGCAATCGGAGAGTAAGTAAGAACAAAAAAAAAAAAAAAAAAAAAAAAAAAAA